CCCCCCCCGCCCCAGAGATGAGTAACAGGCTTGTTTCAAAAACCTTGTTGTCATGATGAAAAAATGCACTTTAAATGGAAGTACCTATCTGAATAATATGCTTGTGATCAAAAAAGATTGTATAGAAAGTAGTAATGCAACTGAGAGCAGAAATGCTAGATTTTTCCATAGCAGGTGAAACAGCAGGCCATAATATCTACTTTACTATTGTTCATAAGTGCACTTTGCACTAATAAAGTATTTCATGATAGAATAGAAGCTCTTCACCATCATGAGAAGCTCTTCTGTCTTCTGTAATAAATGAAGTAATTATTGGTTTGTATTAGAAGCAAAAGAGTGCCTTGTCTTATTGCTCACATGCTTGTGAAAGGGAAGTAGAGACAAACTTTGGGAAATGGAAGACCAAACAGTTTTTCATGTGCACTTGAAGAGAGATGCTTATTCACTACTTCCTCAGAAATGGCTTTTGTCACTGTCAGAATCCTGCCTCATTTGCATGCAACCAACCACTACTGCAGTACACGAAAAATATGTATTTGGAAACTTGCAGATTTATGGAACAGGATCTTCAAAAGGCACAGGATATAACGTCCCTTTTTTTTAATGCCTGTGTAACCTTTCTTAAATCTTCTCTACAAGCTTAGAAAAGTTTTTAGGCTTATCTAGAGATATTTGGAAAGAACCAAAGTAATCTGCAGTTTACAGATAAGGTTTCAAAAACCACTGCCTGTCTGCAGGATTGTTAAATGACCTGTATCTAGCAAGCAAGGAATGTGGATTAAAGAGGAGTACAGACAGGGAAGACTAAGCTGACATACTGCTTCGGTTCAAGGGAGAAAATATCTTGGTAAATGGAAAAGTATGAAAGATCTGAAGAATATATCACGTTTTTTTGGGGGGCAGGTTTTTTTATTTGGAGGATTACGGTCATGAGCAGAAGATTAAGAGGAAAGTTGTCTTTACATGTAGAGGAATTTAAAAAGCTGGACATGGTTAAGAAAAGCAACCTACCAAACATGCTTGGCAACCAAAACATTGAATAGTTGTAGACTTCCTGCAAAGGTAGAGAGCAGATGGCTCAGCAACAACCAGAAAATGTGAAACTAGGATTCAGATTAGCCCTACAGAGTAGGGAACACACTTGTGTTTGCCATGTGTGGCAAATGAACCCTCTTAGTCTGCATCACATCTCCTTACGTCTCAATGAAGTGGTAACACATGATTTGATGGCATCTGGCTAATTAAGCAAGCATGTTATGAGATGGAGCCTTCAAAATATGAAATAAAACAAACTTTATGAAACGTACATTGAAAATCCCTGTGCAGGACATCCAAATATATTCCTCGTACTGTAAGCAGAATAAAATAATTTCTGCTTTTAATAAATTCAGTCAGCTCTGGGTGCCTCAATAACAAACTGCAGCAATACCTAAAAATGCTACAAATGTTGTTACACCTAAAGCTAGCATTGGTGGTCATCATGTTTGGTCCTGCGATGATCACCTGCTCTAACTTAATTTGCATGATGTTTTGTTAATTAACAAAAGAATTTTCCGAAAAATCTCTTTTAAAAGCCTCACCGGTCACAGATGCTTTAAAAGTTTAATTAAGGGGAATGTGTCAATGCACAGAAGAGGATGTACAATGTTGAGAAAGCACAGGAGTTACCACGTGAGCCAGGCAGTGCCTGAGAGGAAGGCGGGTATCCCTGGAGCCTGCCCTCCTTGCACGTACCTGGATTTACATGTCAGCCCGACAGCGTTTTTATGGTTTCAGCGCAAGGCAGGCAGCGCGGTGTGTGAGCAGCTGTGTCAGCCCTTGCAGGCAACGGGGCGATGGCAGCACCTTACCTGGTTCTTTGGGGCGACGATGTGCCAGGAGCAGGTGACTCCTGCTGGGTAGTCTCGCTCCGGCCAGTTGGGTGTTTGGAAGGACCCCGACGGCTTCTCTAGTCGTCCCCCACAGTACTGATCCCCTGCAAGTACAGTGTGCCATGCTGACCAGAGTGCAACGGGGAGGCAGGTAACCCACACCATGCGCTATTTTTACTGCAGGGACCTCAGGGAGGGAGACATGGCTGGTCCCAGCCACCTCTGCCACCGCCCCACTGGAGGACATGGCTGAGCCCTTCAGCCCAGCTGGTGGCACATCTGGGAAAAGGTATTTAATGAAGGGCAGAAAATGCCAGATGTAGACAAAGAGGGGGGTAAAAAAAAGAGAGTGAGAAACATTCCTGTGAACACCAGGGTTGGAGGAGGAGGAGCCACAGGTACTGGAGCAGCCATCCCGGCAGCCCCTGGGGTACCTGTGCCAGGGCTGACAAGCGTTCCTGAAGGAACTGCAGCCTGTGGAGAGCCCAGGATGGAGAGGGGTTTTCTCTTCCATACCTCCTCCTCCCAGTCCCAAATGACAAAGCTACATTAGCTATGTAATCCTTATTTGTAATAGGCTTATGAACCTTTTTTATTAGATTAACTCTAGTAATTAACTCACAGTCATTTAGTCGATCTTTCAAGAAGCTATCAATACAGGGATATAACTGGTAGACCTAATAAATTACTCATCACCTGCACTGCATCTGCCCAACAACCGGTCTAGTCTGGTATCATGCTAACAGCAAAAGTCTTGAGAAAGAGTCACTCAGCAGAGCAGTACCACCTCCCTGTAACTTCCCAGCTTCTCGCAGTTCGTGGTCTTCCCAAGCACAGGGCAATGCCTTTATATTTAATAATACCTAACAGATTTTTCTTTCACATATTTTTCTAATTGTTTTTAAACCACTGTAGAAACTGACAATCCACAATGTCCCCTGGCACAGCTCTTCACCACTTAACAGCTCACTGAGAAAAATCACCCTCTTCTTTCCTTTGCAGCCACTTGCTCATCGGGTTTTTGTATTAGAGGAGACAGTGACTGTGGTCCCCGTTCCCTTTCTCTGTACCGGTCATAACTTTGGAGTCCTCTCCTACACTCCTCTTGACCTTCCCTTTTCCAGCATGAAAAAAGTCTATGCTGTGCAGCTGGTCTTTGTGTAGATGCTCCTTAACTCTATAATATACTTGTTGTCTCTGATTGCTTCTGATAGTTTTATTATATCCTGTTCTGAGATAGGAACATCAGAATGGCACACAGTATTCAAGACTTATGTGCATTATGGATTTATAGTGGCATAATTTTTTGTTGTTATTTGATCTTTTTAAAAAAAATGTTCAGTTTGTGTTTCTTTTTTTGATACCTATTGAGTACTGGATTGATACTCAACTATTGTTTTCATAAATTATCTATTTTAAAACTAAGATCTCCTTCCTAAGTGGTAATAGTCAATTCAGAGCCTGTTGTGCTGTACATAAAGTTAGGGTGTTTTCCTCTTATTTGCAACATTTATCTCTATTGAATATCATCTGCCATTTTATTGACTAGCCATTACCATACTGCTACTAGGTGCAGTTCTTCCACAACTCTTACAATAGTTAGTTCTCTTTACTACTTTGATGAAATACAATGGCTAAACAGTTATACTTTGCTATTTGCTAAGCGAGATGATTAATGAATATGTTGAGCAGCATATCTCTGGCATCACAACTTTTTAAGCATTAATGCAGCTCTCCATAGAGTTGTACAGTTATATTTGTCTTCAGCACCTATGTAATTGTTAATTACCTCTTTCATGTGGTTCTGCTGCAGAAAACTTTGCAATGAATCCACTTCCAGCAGTATTAGCATCTGAAGTCATCTGCACCAACATTTTATTGCTGTTGGATACAAGGGCACCTGGTTTCACAGTGCCACAGAACCTGCCGATGCGTTGTCCATTGGCGTGGCCGTTGTATATATCCACAAAATCATATCGGCACAAATTATCACTTTCTAGGTCTAAAAATCTAAAAGAAAGAACCACCACTTTTCCTTCTGGGACCTGCAGAGAGAGAGGGAGGGAGGGAAGGAAGGAGAGATGTATCTTGAAGTGTGACTGACAACTCATAGCTATCTGATCCCACTATTTGCATGAGTATTTTCATATCCTTCACTTCTCGCCCAGTAAGCCCTTTTTGTCAACCGTACTCCAGGCAGAATGGTTTTTAAAGTCATATTGGACCAATCATAAAAACAAAGTTCTAGCCATCTCTGTTGCCATTATCTTCTTCCTGATCCACAGCATCATCTAGCTCATATAGTTGATTATTTACCATCACCACCCAGTACAGCTTGGCATATTTCTCTTATTTTCTGCTGAAAGTATGCATTCAGCCATGCAGCTCCCTGTCACCAAGTAAGGTGAGGAGGATGAGATTAACATGGTTTCAAAAAAATATGGAATGAGCAATTTACAATTTTGAGCAAATGAAATGACCTCTCTTATCTTGCTGATTTGTGTCATAAGGTTTCCTAGTTTGAAGGATTTTTTATTTACTGACAGTAAATAAACAACTTACATTTCTAAGTAAAACTGGAAACTATGGCTAATGCTGTGCAGCCCTAATATTTAGTTATTGGAGTGGCTATTTGGAAAGGATATGTAAAACTAAAGAACCATTAGTGGGTGTCCTCAATGCAGAAAAGTTTTGTTTTCTGAAACATCTGAGGAAACATAAGACAAGGGCAAATCTTCTTTCATGTCTGAATCTGTGGACACTGTGAAAGAGGCAAGAGTACTGAGAAGGATGTCAATTAAGAGAGTGTAATAGTTTACAAGGAGAACATTTCCTGGGATAGAGTTGCAAGCTTTTAAGAGAATAAGCAGCATACTGAGAAGTTGAAAACTATTCTAACAAAGCACTCAATGCTATGTAACAGGACAAGAAGAAAGGAAACAGTATTTTAAAGTATAGAGAGACCCTAGACAAGCAGAGTGTAATTATCTGCATTCAATTCATATCCTGGTAGAGTGGTTACCTATTAAAATAATTGCAGCTGTTCTATTTTACTGAGACACTGCTATTATTTTCTGCTTTAAATATATAACACACACTTGATATTATCTGCAGTATGTCCATATTTAAGCCACTTTATTTAAGAGTTCATGATTGTTTTCCTTCCTTGGAAGTGACTCATTTTAATACACCAGTTTGGGACAAACCACAACTAAACTGTTTGTATATGAAATTGTCAAACAGTGTTTTAATGTTGCGAGTTTCAACAATTAAAAATGCCTTGTCAGGTATAAATAGAAGTGCTATAGATGGAAGTGACCACTTAACCCACAGAAGTTACTAATACAGGCAGCAGCTCGAGATGTAGTGAAAACTGTGCTGTAGATATGTTAAGGTTACTGTTCATGCGGCTGTTTTGATGTCCAGTGCTGATACTGATCCTGCAGCAGGACAGACTTTTGCATGAGCTGTTTTCAACTGCCCAGGGCCCACGTACACACAGGCTGACCAGTCTCACTGCAGTTCCTGTTGTTGGCTTCAGAGTATTTTCCTTTAAGTTCAAAGTTCTCTCAAACATGTGTTGAGTTCCCCTGTGCTGATGTAAATCACTATTACTACTACTACAGCAAAACCACAAAACTCATCTAACCTTACCCAGAAATTCCAAAGCACAATGACTGTGTTTTAGAAAACTTTAAAGCCAGATGTTAGGTTTAAAACTGATGCTACAGAAGTGAGAAAACCCTATAGCTGGCATCAGAAAATAACCCACATGTATATTTTGTCAGCATAAGGCCAATACAGACACATGTTCATATTGTAAGATATTCTGTGAAAGCGATATGACTCACTGCTCTCATAACTAAATCTCTTATTACTGCATTCACTTGTCTTCTGGTCTGAATCACTAAGAAGCATTAAGACATGGTCATTTTAACAGAAAAAGAGATAAAAGGAATTTGGTATTCCTGTCAGAAGACCTGAATGTTATTTATGGTTATACTGCAACCTCTGTGTGACCGGGCAAATCAGTTCAAAAATGCTGGCTCTAATGTTGGTCAGATAAAGTCAGATTTAGGCAGTTAAATTAAAGCAGCCTTTTTTCCAGGAGTATGTATATAAAATAATATATGCTTTTTTGGGACAGAACTCTCATTATTCATAAGCTTATACAACTGGTACAGCAGGATCCAAATGAGGTGACCTTTAAAGCTTATCATGTTTTAAAACAGACTGAGCTGTTACGCCTACAGTTAAGATTGTCCAACATTTTCCACTACAATGTCTTGCACCTTTGCTACAACTTACCCATGTTTAAGAATTTTGCCCTTTTCCTTCCACTGTTTCTAAAAGTTGAGCAGAAGTTGCTCTATTGTATTAGATTCAATAGTTTTGTCAGCACTTATGAGATTTTTCCCTACTTCCTGAGCTTGAATTCCTTCTTTGAAGATGCCTACTCTCTCACAGAGTTTGAAGAAGGAAGTTGAAATGTGAGAGGTGTCTGGTTCTGGGGTAAGAAATGGTCTTTTTGCTATCCTTGTGGAAATGCATGCAGATTTAGCCAGGTGGTTATTCCTCAGTGATGCTGATGAGTGCTCACCAACAGCTTTGTTCCCTGAGCACATCGAACCAACGCTGCTCTGCTCACACCAGCCTCGCGGCACTCAGTCCTACCACCAGGTATTCCACTCTCTCATGGGGAACCAGGACACAGGACTGACCAGCCCTCAAGAGGGAGAGGACACTGGCAAAGCAGCCAAACACTGAACTGCCAGCCAACCATTCACTCAAGTCTTCTGTTTCATGGCATAAGTAATTCTGTGCAGTGCTGTATGGTTCCTTCTCATTTCTCCACCACTAGCTATGTTATACTATACTATAATTATGTTATCTAATTATATTTCATAATAGTTTTTAAATCTCTCTAGCTTCTATTAGTTCAGAGTACTTGATCTTGGTCAAGACTGGTCCCCATTGATGTACTGAGTTTCTAAGTTTTGTTTCATGACAGTTTGTAAGAAAACATGTAGGAAAAGCTCAGCCACATGGTGATGAAAGTTTAACAAGGAGTCTAGATTTTAGTTGTCAGAGTAATCCTTGCTCACATTTAGCTGAATTTGAGGACATAAGTAATTTACAGAAATGTGTGAACTGAGGCCCTTAATCACACTCACTACTTACTGCCATTACTTTATAAAATAATGTTGTTACTTATTAAAATAATATTTGTCATTATTCACAAAAATAACACTTTTTTTTCCAGCATGTTAAATCAATTAAAAGTTTGTGGTCTGACCAGATGACATTCAAGAGTGCAGAGGATGGTAGTTCCACATTACGGCAGTAGCCGCTCCAGTTTGCAGCTACTCCCAAGGAATCCCACCCTAAATACAGGCATCTTTGCAAAACAATACTTTTCTTTCATTTCTACCATTTCCCTTTTTCAAATATTGAAAAATAATGTGCTAAAATTTGCCAATGTTTATCCTAGGACATTTAAAATATTGCTTCATGAGAAACACAGGGGAGAAAGCAAAGGCCAGCATGACTCAGTTTTGTTTACTTTGAGCCACGTCCAAGCCTCATGCAGTAAGATGATGGGATACCTCAGAGGAAGAATTGGAAGGAATTGCAGCTCTTAAGAAAAAAAAAAAAAGAAAAAGAAAAAAAAAGAGGGAGGAATCAAAGGAAGAGTATGTGATGCTTCCCTTGCAGGGTGTGCCTTATTTTTCTGTTCTATCCATCCAGCTGGTCTTTCAATGACAAAGGCACTATAGCTTCTGCCTCTTCTTGTCACACTGAGAATGACTGACCCATGCATGTCCTCTGATTCCCTTCTTATTTTAACTCTATGAACTTCTATGGGATCAGAAATTATGCTGCTAAACTCACATGAAGGATGCCTTAGTCCTATGAAAGGCTAAAGGAAAACAACACTCCCCGGATTTTTAGGGCGAGTATTTCTAGGGCATAATTCCCTAAAATCATCTGTGTAGATTATTAACTTCTTCAAAAAGGCAGGATTATTTTATATATACAACCCACCACAAAGTAAGGTCCCTAGATTTATTGTGGTTATCCTTCATTGCAGGTATTTCATATAATATTAATCAAAATTCACTTACATTTAAAGTAGCTGTTTTTCTGTTGTTCTGACTGAACACAAAGCCCTCCTCATCACTGCCTCTCAGTTTCTAGGGAGGATTCCCAAACTGCCCTACTGTTCAAAATTACTTGGTTTAGATTATTTGCTTTGGAAATAAACTTTTCAGTGGGGAAACTCCCTTAAATGCCAACTTCCTGAGAAAATACTTTGCCTAATTTTTAAATCTATATTGTATGTGGGTTTAATATATTTTGGTATATGTTTAATACCAAAATACTGATTGCATGTTCTGCCATAGCAGTCCTAGGTAGATTTGAAAAATACATCAGCTATCTGCCAGCCAAACATATTATTTCTTTCTACTGAGAATGAATGTGGAAGTTATTTGGAGTTACAACCTGGGAAGAATCACAATTCCTGCCTAGTTGCTTGTTCCCTAGCTCCATCCTCTCCAGCCACAAAAGAACCATTTAAAAAAAAAAAAATCGTATTAGCTTCCTCTCTGTGACAAAGGTACTAGATTCCGTTCAGCTATTTCTTTTCTGGCAATACAGCCATGTGTGAAGATCTGTTCTCTACTGGAAGGGCAGTTTCACAATGATATGGGAAAATGAATACTTAAAATGTAGAGAAAATGATTTAAAATATTTCAGTTCCCCAGGGCAGATTCCCAACTTCCCTGATAAGTAAATTTTTCAAATCCTGCTTATTGTCAGCAAACCTGCTGGAACGCTGCTCCTGAACCTGTAAATTATATGACCTTACATAACTCTGACAAGTCTTCAGTATTATTGTTGCATATAAAGTTGTTAAGAGTTTTATGGGAACTACACAGTCTGCCAGAAAAACACAAGACAGCAGTCCAGATTCTTGGACTATGTGACACATTTATGTGAGGTGATGGCCAAGAAGGATTACAGAGTATTAAAAGTAAATGTATATGACATATTTTAGATAAAGATATATACATTACTATAGGAAAGGAAATAGCTGTACAAATGACTTCTTAGCAAAGCCAGCTAAAAGCTGCTGGGTAGTCTGCCAAGGTTGTAATATAACCACAAGCATGTGCTGAACACTTCTTAGAGCTCTTAGAATAGAGAAGCTGTTTTCTTTAGCCAGCTGAAAAAGTCCCAGTCTCTTGAAATAACAGAACCATAATTGAGTTAGAGAGACTCTTCTAGCTTTAGCAAACCAGTTGGAAAGATTTCAGATGATACCTGAATGCTACATTGCTTTATCTGTATTACCAATAATGTTTTCTAAACCTATCTTCTTCTCAAGAATGAATTAGCTATCACTCTGCCTCTCTGTGTACTTCTTCTATAGATGATGAAATCCTGTAGTTGAGAAAACAACAACTTCATGCTTCTCATGACCCAGATGCAAAGTGAATCAATGTCTCTTCCAGTCTTGTAGATTTGTTAGATCCTGCATTAGGCAGAGTGTTTTCAGGAAGATTTTCACAGCCCTTGGCTAAAACAGACAGGCAAAAAGTCTTAGTCACCTTCTAAGATCGGATGCTAAATGAGGAAGCCTAACACAGTAACTACAGCATATTTCTTCATGGCAGTGTAACTGGCTTTCTTACTTGAGTGCTATTGCAAGCTATTCTGAGCCTCAGCAGTATCTGGTGAAAGGATTTTGTTGTTTAAATTCAGGCTAACCAGACCCTTGAGTGTACCACTTCCCCTCAGTTTGGTAAGTCATCCTCTTTTTAAAGAGGGTACATGCTTATTGCAAGTTTCGTAGTCCTTGCCTTCCCTACATCCTTCGTGAGTATCTAAAAAACAGGGTGTTCTACACAACTGATGGGGGAAAAAAATCATCTTGGCTTAATGAATAATAGTCTAATAGGGGTTAAATGAGGTGGAGGCACAAAAAAGCCTGGACTACTACAGTTGTGCAGCCCTTCTCTGGCTTCAGGCAAGCTACAGAGAATAGGTGTGCAGCAGTTGAAGAGCAGGAGTAAATGGTAGCGCAGCAGAAAAGTGGGAGTTGGGATGATCATGAAATGCCAGAAGCTATTGAGTTCCTCCATTGGTCAGTAAGTGCAGAGGCAGGTCTGCTACAGCTTTGTGGTAATGCTTCTCACAATGTCCAGGCTAACCTGGATGCTCACACTTTGTTGGCAACAGCCACATGAAGTCTCCAAAGAAACCACTGTATGGCCTTCTTAAATACAATCAATTGTTCTCTTCTCCCTCTACCCCCAATATATGATGAAGGGCAGATCCATGGGATGCGTCAGTAAATGCTTTTTCAGTGCTGCCTCCATTTGTAATCTGATTTTTTTTGTAATGGTAAAAACTTTATGCTGTTATAATAAAAATTATTTCCCTCCAGATTCACTTTTGAACTTCTGAAGATCTAATACAGAGTTATATATTGGTAAACTAACTCTGGAGGTTTTTTTTTTCCTTTTATTTAAGGCATGTGTTTATGATTCCAAATGCAGTTTGCGTCTGCTCTTCAGATTGTAAAATGGGCCATGCTAATTGCTGTAATCTCAGCCCCTTGACAGGAGGAAGCAAGTTTATTTATGAGCATACACTGTGTTTCTCATCATACTCTTCTGGATAAAGCCAGCCACAGATTAAAGGTAACCTCTAACTTGGCCCTCATAATAACATAACATAAAGGTGCAGAAAGCGACTGTTGCAGCTTCACTGGTATCCTTCAAATAAAATGATTAAAATTACATCGCTCATTTGGTATGAGAGTCGTTTTAACTGAACACTGTAAACAGATCAATGTCTCCTGCTTTGCGTCAGCATCTCTATAGTTGCAGGAGACAATTATCCTGTGACATCCTATTCTACTGCCAACACCTAGCCTGCATCACAGTCTTTGAACTGAAGCATCTCCAGGGATCCTGTCAACACAAAGACTAATTTATTTTTTAATGCTTTCTTCTTCTTTTCTGTAACACCCATGTTCTAGGCTTGAATGTCATAGGAGTTTTTAGTGAACTGTGCTCAAAAAATGGAGAGGAAATTTGGTGGGCAATTTTGGAGGGGTTAATTTGTGCAGATGTGAGGAAAAGTAATCATTCATTCAAATCCTTTTCTCTGAGACTGTGGATAAGGACACATCTACCACTGGAGTATTTAGTCCCAGTTGTTTAATGGCATTTGCTGCCCATGAATAGGATGTCTCTGCCCTACAGTCTCATTTCAGCATCAAAATATCAATCATACCACATGCTTTTGCATTGTCATTTATAAATGTAACAACACTTCCCCACTGCTTTGTCAGCTTGCTGTATGACATACTCCAGATGTCCTGCCTGGCCCAACACTGTTACTAGCACACTACGAGCAAACCTGCCTGAATCTTTTGTTTTGGTTTGAAACTTTTTCTGTGTCGCCTTGCCAACGAATTTTGCTTTTCATTACCCACACCTCAAAGCTTTACTTTAATGCATTTGGTCTAACTATCGCTTTCTGCAGAGACTGGACGGGTAGATGTTTGCTTTCAAGTGAGTTAATTTAAAACAATTAAAAGTATATCTATAGAAATCAATGTAAATTTGCTTCTAACGTTAGGCAAGGTCAGTTCTATTTCAGCCACTATTATATTGCAGCAACCCTAAAAAGCTTCAGATAGTTGAGCTGCCCAGAGTTACTGAGTTCATTATTGCACATATCTTATCCCACATAAAACACTGGCATTAACAACAAATAGCTCTTCATTGTCTTTAGCACTGATTTTGTGATATTAAAAATTCTTACTGTGATTTTCCAAGTACATTTGCTGTTTGGAGGGTAGACTCCAGGAAATCCTTCACTCCCAATAAACCCTGACTCTCCAGATACAACTCCTCCACATGTAAATGTAGGCCTGAGAATAATAGGAAAAATAGTGCTTAAATATATTTCGTTTATTCTTTGTATAATAGTAAAGAGGCACAGACTGTCTTGTATCTAAAAACACAGTGCAAATACTTAAAAACATTGCTAACCTTAAACAAGATTCATTACTTACATAATTTCACTGTTGATGTAGAATGTGCAATTTAAGGTGCAAAATTTGGTGTAGAGAAAAGTAACTACTTGGACCTTAATTCTGGGTTTACACAGACTGTTATGCTTCCCTCCTTTTTTAATTCATACGATGAAAGGCATAATGGAGTGATACATCATTGCAAATTGCTATTATAATAACAAAAAAAATTATTAAGAAGTCATTAGTAATGACTTTATATAGTATCTATAATAGTAGTTAAAATAGCACAGTAATAAAAATAACTTTTAATTCCTTTCTGTTCTACCCTGAAACGTGCTTTGAATTTAGGTATTTTAATCACATAAGTTGCTTTGAAAGTTTTCTGTATGGCAGGAACACAGCCCACCGTGTGCGCAAGTCCTGCTACTCCAGGTGATGAATCCTGCGTCCGGGTTTTGTTGGCGTGAGGATGTTCAGGGCTAAAAAGGCTGCGCTGGAGGAGCCCCGAAAAACCCCTGCGCAGAGCCACAGCCTTGCCGCTGCGGAGGACGCGCGGGTGAGCTTGAGGTATCGGGGATAGTATAACTATAGCATATCGGAGCATCACCAGATCATATCGGATCATAATATCGTATCTCTCTATGCGATGGTATCGTACTATAAGGTTACATGTTCCGTTACACGGGGCTGCTCCCGCCGTGT